AATTCAGCTACTCAATAAAGAGAATAATTAAAGACCAGCAATTTTGATTATACATTCACTATGCTAAACCACTTAAAAAGGAAGACATTATGATCTAACAAGATGATCACATATAACAAGTCTATAAACATCAACTCCCTATCTAAAATGTTTTTTCATTTGAAAGCATAATAAATTTCCTTACTCTTTTCTTTTCATTAATACGAGAATACTTTCGCTAATTCAAACTCACTTACATCATATAAATGCTACCCCTGACAAATTGACCATACAATAAAACCATGCGTTTTTCATAGAGAAAAGCCCTAATTCACAACCGCATTCTAACAGCCAAGACCAACGACTTCAATACACAAAATTCACAACATTTCCCTTCCACTAATTAAAAGAACCAACATTATCAAAATCAGAAAACAAACACTCTTTCATGATGAGTTTAGTTTATAGGATGCAATTCCAGTGTCAGGAAAAAACATAGTAGAGCATAGCTAGCAATAGCAATCAGAACTCTTCCGAAAAGAAGGATTAAAATAGGGGAAATCCAGCAAAACAATAGCAAACTGAAACAAATATGATTGCAATAATGTGTAATTTCATTCATTCGACACAATTAGGTGATGAAAACATGCAAAACTCACAACTATAGACGAAGAAAAATCAAGCAACGTAGAGGATCAAGTTATACATGAAATTTATATCTTAAAAAAAGAGAAGTAAAACAAATTACATGTAATGAAGTTTGAAGCATTGACCTGATTCCGATTCTTAAAAAAATTAGAAAACAATACATCAAGAAACGGAATAATCAAATGAAAATAAAGAGTAATCATACAACCATTATCATACAGCGATGTCGTGCATTTTGTGTTTCCTACTCTAATCTTTCTCTATATCCTCTTTCCCGTTTTATTTTTCTTTACCCCAAATCAAAACCCTCGATTTCAAAACCTACCAAATTCCCCTTTGATTATTAATCCAAGCCTATTTTTCTGAACCCAAACTCCATCTTCTGTTTCCCAAGGTAAAGTTTCTCTTATTGCTGAGGAAAATAAATGAAAGGGAGTGGAGAATAAATCTTACCAGGAGTATAGACGAAGAAAACGATGAATTTTTTTCCAGAGGCAATCTCACGGGAGAAGAAGATATCATAAATGGGGAAGAGAAGGGTATTTTAGCCTTAAGCACCCGAATAAAAATATACCTAACACACATGCGGGAATAACATTCCCAAAAATAAACACAAAAGAAATTACTGTTGGTAATAGGATATTAACCTCACTTGATAATCTAGTCCATCCAAATATGGGTATATTAATCAGGAAAAAAATATTCATGGTGGGAATGGTAAATACCTTGATCCAAACGGGCCTAAGGAACTGCAATTGAACATTTGAAATTCTGATAATGGATACATGATAAATGCAGTGGGCAGAAGAGAACTGTTTAGGCTACCCATCCAGAAAGAGAATAGAATGTATAGAATCATCCAGATAGTGCACATGTACGTCTTAGTTTTCATGTCAGATTTGATTGTCCCAAAGACAAGGAAACAAAAAACGCGTCTTCATGTGGAATTGGGTTAATTCTATTAAAGTCAGTGTTGAGTTTAGTAGATTCTATCAACTGTTCTCTTCTTTAATATTATTATTTCTTCACGTCTTTTATTTGATAAACTAAATATTTCATCACTCTTGTTTGATCTTTAAAATTTAATTTAATTATTCAAACTTTGAAAATTAATTTTTCTTTATTTTTTTTATCAAACACCTAAAATATCAAATAATAAGATTTAATAAATTTATTTTGATAATTATTTTAGGTCCATTTTAGTTAGTTAGGAAAAAATAACGAACCAACACAAACCAGTATCCTTCCAAAACTTTCTTTTGCCATTAAACCAAAGAGTCGTTACATTTTCATAGTTTACACATTTCTTGTGCAAGTTCATTAATTACGCAATCGGCTTCCGGTGACCACCGAACTTAATACTCGGTAAACGAGGAGCTGTTGGATCCGTACACTTGGGGGTAAAGGCAATAAATACTGCTGCTGCTTGTTTGTGCGTTGCGGTGTTTTATTTACCTAGTCATTACCGTTTTATTTTATTTAAAAATAACTTGCTTAAATCTTTGGTTTGGCAATATTTGGAAACATGCAGTTGACAAAGTTTGGAAATTGAATGGCTCAAATTACCGGATAAATCTAGCGATCATAAAAGCAAAAAGAATGGGCATCTCGTTGGCAAATTTCAGCCTGAAGCATTTAATTTCTTCTTCCTCATACAGAAAACTACAATTCTTTAGGGTACTGGAAAATTGTTAAGAGTGCTGAAGAGCGTTTTTATCTCCAAAAACAAATTGTCCGCGAAATTGTGCAGCCCTACAGCACATCCTGCACCCAAAGCACAACCATTGATCAATAAACATGATAGAATTGATGAATTGGTTCATGAAAACGGAATAACTACTTACATGTGCATCTTCCTTGGCCTCGTCGTCTGAACCAGACTCATGTCCTTCAGCATAATCGACATCATCATCGTCCTCAGCCTAGAAAAACGGGTAACACAAAACAAATAAACCAAAACAATGGCAAACAAAGCAATCATATCTTTCAAAAGGGATGCTGCATATGCTTACATCGGAATCAACTGGCTCATCCTTTGACTCCTGAAAATCGTGTTTTATTAATTAGAAAGGAAAAGCAGTAAGTGCAAATAATACTGTAATTACATGTTTCACTAGTCAAGAAATATACCTCATCCTCACTCTTTTTCTTTGCCTCCTCAAATGCTGCCTTCTAAGCCTGCATAAGCCAATAACATCAACCAAATATGACACGAGAACATAACATACAAAGATTTACATACATCCTTATGATTGCCCCATGTTTCTTCAGCTAGTTTCTTGGCATACTCTACATCGTCAGCAACTAAGATGTTATCGAACATTGTTCCAGATTTCACCTGACAAAACACAAACATTTATCACTTTATATAGTTCTAAACTGAACTGGGATGATAAAAGGATAGGGTGCACAAAAGAGTACCTGCCACAACTCAATACCAACATACTTCAAGTTAGGGAAAACATAGAGATCTGGGTCGTCCTTGAAATCTATGGACCATGGAAAAGCACAGGAATAAATAAACTAAAAACATTTTGACATTAAATTTAAGAAGGAAAAAAAGGCACAACAGAAATGAACTTAGCAAAAAACCTGGGTTGTCAATCATTGGTGCCTTCCACTTGCCCTTGTAGTTGGGGTTCTTGATTTATGAAAATAGAGGAAGAAATGTTACAAATTGCTAACTCAAAAGCAATACCATATGTTGCAATTAGGTAAGGATCTCACAAACCTTTGGCGTCCATGGGCCCTTGTACTCAGGGTTGGGAGTTGTTGGGGCTATCCATTCACCATCTCCTCCTCATCCCAATTAGGGCTGTAAATGAGACGAGACAGATCGCGAGTTACTCGAGATCGACTCGGTCAAGGCTCGATAAATACTCGGATCGAATGGACTCGAATCGAACTCGATCTCGACTCGAATTCTTAACGAGCCGAAACGAGCTACTTGATACTCGACTCGAAAAGCTCGTGAGTAACTCGAAAATATAATATATTAAGATTTTATTTTTTAAAAAATAAATTATTAATAATATTAACATTTATGTGTTGATTTTTTTTAAAAAATACAATAAGGCTTTCATGTATTTAAGGTTCAGGTTCGAGTTTGAATTTGAGGATTCAATCTTGTTAAGTTTAAGATTTTTTTTCATTTCGATCCTTTTCGAGCTGCTCACGAGCTTCAGTTTAGGATTTCGAGTTCGAGTCGAGCTTAAAAATTTTAAGCTCACGAGTTTTCGAGTCGAGTCGAGCTCTATTTCAGAATTTTCGAGTCGAGTCGAGCTCAGCAATACTCGAACTCGACTCGGCTCGTTTACACCCCTAATCCCAATCTTCAGGCTGGGGTAAATGATTTTAATCAATAAACTTTTAGTTCAAACAAGGTATACTATTTAATGATAAAAGCATTCCAAAAAGAAATAAATGACTACCTTCTTAGCATCGGGGTTAGTAATTTCTTTGGGAATCTCATCATAACCCTATAGTATCAAAACACTGGTAGTTAGTTGCCTATGCATCTTTAGGCAGCACTTTTAGTCTTCTAATATAGCATAAGAGAATGTTATTACCTCTGGCTTTTTGTCTTCAGGATCAGGGATGTATTCCCTATCATCCCAATCTTCAGGCTGCCCATCATGCAAAGTATTCAAGTTGTAGTGTTGTACTCCAAATGCATATGAGAATAAAGCAAACCAAAAAAATAACAACTGCGATCGGGTACGACCAATTACCTTCTTGGCCTCAGGATCCTTGATCTTCTTTGGTGGGAGAAGATCCCAATCAGTGTACAAGCTACCAGTTTGTTTCTCAACATTATCCATAAGGATGCTGTACGAAGCATCTGGATGAAGAATGAATGTATAAACATGAGTGAGTTGGTCAGTCTCACAAGGAACTTCCTTTTTGATCAAGTGGTTTGTTCCATTGTAGGTAAGAATAGCATGCACTTTCTTGGTGAAGGAGCCACATAAATCAGGCCCAAACATGATGCTGCAACCAAACCAACATAAGATAAAAATCAGTAAATCTAACAATAATATCCATTAGAGATGTGAATAGGTTAGAACACGGGCATGAAAAACCTGTATGGGGTTTCACCGCCAAATTTCTTCTGGTCAATGACACCACTGATCAACTTCATGTAGCCACCACCGCAGTCAAGCTTCTGCTCATGTTTCACAGAAAATTGGAAGACTATGGTCTTGCCCTTGTTAACTTTTAGGAACTCAGCTGAAATAGCATAAAACCTGTAGTCTTCGCTAGTTTGAATGCCTGTACAAGATGTAGAGTCATAAGTAACTAACTTGAAAAATAGTCTTTATCTATACCAAATTAACAGTAATTCCAGAACCTTACCTTTGTCATTAGGATCTCCATTCCATTTTCCAAAAGTGTGATTCCATTCCCCAGCCATGTTCTCATCTTTCTTCTAGTCAGATTTTACCCACCGACTTTCCCATCCATCTAAAGTTTCACAGCAATAGAAAAGCAAAATCAGCCAAAAAGCTTGCAATCAAAGCTGTTAAAAACAGCAAAACCTAAAATAAGTACAATTAAAGCAAATGCTGCTTCCTTTTCATAAGTTCTCATTCGTTTGTTAGAAGGAATACAAAATCTAATGAACAGAACAAGCAAAGTACGGTAAAAGGTACACGTTTTGCTTTACTGTGATATCTATAGATGCAACTAAAAAATGATAACTTTTAACTATTTCCCTCTGACATCGCTAAAAGCTAACGTTTTCATCCCCTTATTTTTGGTCTCACATAAACAAATACCTGACTCGCAATTATCAAAGAAAATTGAGGAACAAATAAATTTAAAAAACGCAGAATAATAGATTAATAATTATTCCTTTATATTATCCTCTACAGTTACAGATCAATTGAAACATAGGGGCAGTAACATGCATTGTCATTTCTTATCGCATATAAACTACATTTCTAAACGTGATAAAGCATTTGACTGAAGAAACAAATAAAAACAACTTGATTGCCAAAAAAAGACATAAAGATCACCGGTCCGTGAAAATTAGATCAAACTGAAAGCTAAACATCTAAAAAAAACAAATTCAAATGAAAAAAAAGGCAGATAGAAAGGTTCGGATACAACGGACAGATTTAGTAATAGAAAACGGAGAGGTGTAAGTAAAGAAAGAGTTTACCTTCGAAGCGTTCTTCGAAGAAAACCTCAGAAGAAGGGAGGGCGACGAGAGAGAGGATAATCAGAGTGACAAAATTTGGTGATTTTTTGTGAATCGCCATGGCTGAATTCATCGACGAGATAGAGAAAATAAGTAGAGCTCCACTGAGAGGGCCGTGCCTGTTATGGAGTTGAACTCAGAGAAGCCTACGGGTTCGACTTTACTTGAAATAGTGAGAATCTGACCTGAGAGTGATTTTTTAAACGATCTATTTGATCATTTAATTTTTAAAAATTAAATTAATTAATTATAAAATAAATAAAACGAATCTAGTTCAAATTTCGTGCGTGCAAAAAGAATTTTTAATTATTTTTCATATAATTATAATAAATAATGTTTATATTTAAACTAAAATTTTAAAATTTATATTTATAATATAAAATTCTTTTGAAACATTCACAACACGTGTCAGGAATTATTATTTTTGTATAATAACGGGAAGAAAATATAAAAAACTATGATGGCAAAGTATTTATTCTTCTAGTACCCATTTTCAGCAAGGCAATGAGTCAATCTAAAATTATTAGAGCGTTTTGATGATTTTGAGATTAATTTGCTAAATGGTTCGCGTATTTATTTTCCTTTCGAAAGGTGTGACAAATTTTGTTGATCTAACCCTCATATATATAAATATTACGTAATCTTTAAATAATACGTATATTAGATGATTATCGATCATATTACCATTTAAAACATCAATCACTCACCTAACATCGAATTCTACAGTTAAATTTGTTGTTTTTAGCTTTTTAACTATATATGATTAGGCCCTAGTGAACTCATAATTATGTTATCAAACTATGAGAGTGAACTCCTTGGTTCTGATTAATTTAAAATTTTCATTTATATATTTATTTTTAATTTATGATTAAAAATATTCTTAATATTATACTCAAATATTATTTTTAGAATAAATTATAAGCTCCTACCTAGCCATCTAAAATATTAAATTAAACTTTAATTAATTAACCTTAATATTAAAAAAATAATTGTTATCTCTTGATATGATTGTTATCTATGCAAAAGTGTATGGAAATTTATTGTCAATCAAATAAATATTATATTATAATTACCTTAAATTACTTTAAAAAATATTAAATTAATCCAAACACAATATGGAGAAATTTAATATCGCTTTACTAGCAAAACAAACAAGGATGACGTCTTTTGATAAATCACTCTTCGTTGGTTGGTCGGTTATTTCGAGCAAAATATTATCACGAGGGCAATTTCTTGAGCTCTGCGATTGGATCGTCATCGCCGTATGTTTGGAGGAGTTTTTAGGCGGCAAATGACCTTCTCTTGAAAGACTTGCGTTGGAAAGTTGGCACATGCTCCTCCATTTCAATATGGAACGATTTTTGGCTCTCAGTTTATTCTCCGAGGAAAGTTTCATCAGCCCATAATGAAAACGTAGTAGGGGTGAATGAGTTAATTGATGCAATTACTCGACAATGGAATAGTAGTTTAGTCGAAACTATATTTAGCGAAGAGAAATCAAAGATAATTGAGGGTATTCAAATTTCATGCTTTGAGCAAGTACTGCAGGGTTTGGAGCGGAGAAAATCTGGAGTGTATAGTATTTGCAGTGGATATTGATTGCTTTTGGGAGAGACAAATTGTCCACAACATATCAATGACATTTTTAAGAACATTTGGGCCAGTTCTTGTTAAAGGAAGATTCAAATACAGGCATGACACATCTCTTGTAATTATTTTCCTACTAAACAGAGCCTATACAATAAATGTATTATTAATAATCCTATGTGCTCGAAGTGTTTGCATTATGTGGAGATCAGAGTTCACGTTGTTCGGGACTTCCTTAGGCGGGTTTGGTGTGGTCACGATTGGGTTATCAATGGCCGAATCATGTTTTGGATACAAACTGGTTTGAATGGTTTGGTTGAGTGCTTTATAATAATTCCAAATGCATCTAAGCATGCAAGAATAATAACAACAGTCTGAGCATTGTGGTTAGCTCGAAACAAAGCATATCATAGTGGGAAGAAGATAAGGGATATGGAGATTATTACACTTGTCAAAACGCAGTGTTCAGATTTTGTAACTGCAAACGCTCGTATCGAGGGACCTCCTTCACAGACGACAACTACATGGCAACCTCACCAGCCTCTATGGTAAAAATTAATTTTGATGCCAGATTTTTACATGCACAGCAAAAAATGTGGTCATGAGCTGTTATTAGAGATCACACAGGACTTATTTTGGGAGCATGTAAAAGGAGGGTAGATCATTTTACCTCAATTTTCATGGCGGAAGCAGTGGCAGCCGTTCATGCAGTGCACTTCGCTGTGGAGATGGGATTTCGCAGGTGGTGGTGGAATGTGACTCAAGAACAATAATCGAAAAATTGCATTCACAAGACCCTGATTTATCCGAGGTAGGCGCGATAACTTGGGAGGTGCGAAAACGGACGAAATTCTTCCATGCATGTCGTTTTAGTTTCGTTCCTAGATAGGGAAACAAAACAGCTCAATGTTTGGCAGCTGATCAGAGTACAAATGATAAAGATTATTTCTGGGTAGAGGAAGCTCCTATCTGTGTGGAGTCACAAGTCGATGAAGATAGAAGATGTCAAGATGTGTTGATTTGCCTTAATCTTTTTTCGAGAAGAGTACAGAGGTGTTGAGTGCTCTATCAGATTTTCCTTGCGCCAAGCGTTTTAATTTCTCAAATCTGTTTTCATAGCAAGGAGGTGAAAGGCCAAAAGGTTTTCTTTTCGTTGCTTTTATGTCGGTTTTGGTTCCTTGTACTTTCTTTTTCCTGTTTTGTGTGACAGTTGGGTTGCACTTTTATTTATTATATCTGGCCTTATTTAAAAAAAAAAGAAGACCTAAAATTTGAGGCAAATTTTCAAAAAAAAAAAATCACCATTTCTCTCTATATTTTCCTGTTAGACATCCTTCCATATTTATTTCTCGATCTAACACCCTTACGTTGATGTTGCGCCACGTGGGATAAGGCACAGCCCATGAACCGCGCCTTGTACTGACATGCCGACACGATGGGTAAGGCGCGGGTATGGGCCACGTCTTCTGCCACGTAGAGGTATGGTGCGGTGCATGGGTCGCGCCTTCCTACAATTATGGCACGTGTCAGAATGGAGCGGTGCATGGGTCGCATCTTGTATAATTGTATCCGTACTTCTCGGCTTTAAAGCGTTTCCTCTGTGCTATAAATACTCCTCTCCCCGTAAACTTTTACACAACAACCTCTCAACCGAAAAATTAATACAATAATCCTCTCAACCCGTAAATATCACTGATAATCCTTTTATCTTTGATTCAGAAGTTTGTTCGATCTTTCGTTATAAGGTAATTTTTTTATAATATTTTTTATAATTATATATGATTATTTGAAAAAAATATTGTACTAATTATTTTCAATTAATTTTCTAGTTGTAAAATTTGAAAGCGCGAGCATACGTCGAAATATTTTTACCGATACAACAATAATGTAAAATTATATTAGTTAAATTATTTACGTTTATGTGTAAAAAATTTATTGTGTTATATTTTAATTCATATATTATTTATTTAATTAGGATTGTTTCAGGTTTTTGTTTTGCAGATATAAGATTGTCTCAATTTCAAACTCTAAGAATGGCGTGAATTTCAGTTATTGTTTATTATGATAGAAAAATTCGAGAAGATGAAACCGGAGTTGTTTTCGTATCAAATCATTATGTTAAAATATCCTTCAAGAGAAACGTAACTCTTGAGGAGCTGATAACGAAGATTTCAATGAAGGTTTATGTTGGAAGTACTAAAAAATGTCGTCGCTTCAGTACAGATTTCCAACATCATTGTTTCCGTTAACTTATACAGCGTTCAAACTATCGAACAATGATGTTGTTGAAATAATGTTTGATTCTCAAAATAATTATTCAGCGGGGTCTATCATTAAGCTCCCACTATGGGCTGGCTGAACAAGCTGATCAAGTTAACAGCCCGACTACAGTAATGTGTAATGATTTTAATGCCATAATGAGAAATCCGCATCATGGTGTCGTCCCATCAACTTCAATGGGGAGACATTCATCAGCAACTCCTTACGATCTGCCGAGGTGGGTCCACAAACAATCCGTATGGCAACATCGCGTCCAGTTCAAGGGGAAGACATTCATCTGCCAATTTCTTTGACCTTAATATGGAGATGCCCTCGACGCAACAATCTGTGTTTCTATTTGACACGATGGCTTCATGCTCCATGGGGAGGCATTCGACTGTGTGCTTTTTCGATCTCAATGTTGATATGCCTTTTAGTTCAAGGGGAAGGCATGAAAGTAGTAGGTTCTTCGACCTAAATGTGGAGAGCATGGAAGAACCATCATCTCCATCAGAAGAACCGCTTTGTGAGCCAGGTGCGGATGGTGCTGAGACTGGACTATTTATTCATCCAGAATCACATCAATTCAACTCCGATGATGATCATGATGTAGATGAAGTTCCCTCAAATGTGGCACAAACTGAACCTCCAACACACATGTATGAAGCTAACTATGGTGCAATGTAAGGGTCAGAATTTGTGGATATACCTAATCTCGGTGGCTATGGATTTTACTCATTAATAAATAATGGTGAGTTATCTTTAGTCATGGAGTTTTCAAGCAAAGTAAGAAGCGATAATGGCTATAAAAAATTACAATATCCGTAATTTGTTCAATCCAGAGTCGACCGCTTTACGACAGAAAAATATGTATGCCACTGTGCCCGATGTGAAAAAGGATGCAATTGGATGATTCACGTATCGAAGAGGAAGAGGAAAAACAAAAGATGTGAACTAATGGTATACAACGGTCCTCACACATGTTGTGATGGAGGGATCAACCAAGATCATCCCAACTTGGACTCTGAAGTGATATGCCAAGCCATCATGCTCATGGTAAAAGCAAGCTCTCATATAGTTATTGTTGTATTGATTTTAGCTATACAATCACAGTATGGGTATTCCGTCTCATACAAAAAAACTTGGAAGGAAAAGCAGAATGC